ACATGTGTGATGACCAGTGGGTCAGTTAAGCTGTGGGCCAGCTTTAGAGGAGGGTCAGAGCTGACACCAGCTTCTCTGCTATAAAACAAGCAAAGGAAATGAGGATCTCATCAAGTTAGAAGCCCCTTCATTCCCTATACACACACACACCCCTCCCCAACACACACCACAAACACAACACACCAAACACACATATGCCCCACAAACATACCCCAACACACACACCACACACACATGCCCCACAAACATACCCCCAACACAAACACACATATACCAGACACCCAAACACCCACACATGCCCCACAAATATATCACCCCAACAAACACACATACCACAAACATACAACACACCACACACATATGCCGCACAAACATACCCCCAACACACCCCACACACACACCACACACTCAAACACTCCCCCCCACTCCCCCACCCCCCACACACTGGAACTCACAACCCATAGGTGCTTGTTCATCCTGTGGGACTCTTGACCTAAGTTTACCACAGGGAATCTACCAGCCACCATAAGTCATGGAGCCCAGGCACAACGTGCTCATTCCCCCCACCTGCTCTGTAAAGATCTTCCCCCCAGAAATGCTCTCTGAAAAGCACTGGTTGGAGAAGGATGGTTTTAGGGGGACAATTTCCCCCCAAGTCATCACCCCAGCTTTGCATGTTCCAGAGAAAGGGCTCTTACTTCAGAAACCCATAGATCAGGTTACATGATCAGAGCAGGGTTAGCTTCTCCTGTGAGCTGATAGTGCCATGCCCAGGGCCCCCACCTCCTGAAAGACCTTACCAAAATCTGGCAGCTGCATCAGTTTATGTTCTTTGAATGTGAACATGCCCCTACATAGTGCTGTGGGCAGACACATGGGGAAGGAAGTCAGGAGAAGGTCAGATTACTAGAATTACAGAACCTCAACAAGATACGCTGTGTGCACATGCACACACACCCATCTGCACCTAGGAACTCCTGAAAACCAACTTGCCTCCTCGAGCCCTTGGCCTCACCCTTTATTCTCCATCACATGCAATAGCCAGTCATCAGGGATCCTCTATACTGCCCCAAAACCTGCTGGTCAAGGGAAGCATCCCATTGGCTTCCAAATGGCCCATCCAACCAAGAGAAGCAACCCCACAATCCTCAGCCAGGCATTCAAGCCTCTCCTTAGTTGGTTTCCAACCTACCTTTCCAGTTGTACATTACAGGACTTGGTCTGATTCCCAAGACTATGTTCTTTCCACTACACCACCCCGCCTTGGAAAGTCACATGCCATCCCTGAAATGACACGACCTATGCTGTTCTCTGCTTCCAAAGACAACCCTCCTGACCCGCCACTGGCTGGTCAGACCTGTACTCTGTACCCTTGTAATGGAGCAGTTCTACACTGCACTATCCACTCTCTTCTTCAGCCCCTTGTCTGTCAGACTCCTGGGCAGGGTGAAAGAGAGGGGCAGCCTGTGGACATCTGCGTGCAGCAGATCCAGTCAGTGCGGAGTGGGAAGGGCAGAACCGTGGCCTGGCGCCCCATTAGCCTCTTTGCTGCTTGTTACCTTAAACATACACTGTAGTTACAACCATTCCTAATACTGGACAGTCCAAGAGTGGGCTGGAGCCAGCTGTACCAGCCAGGTCTCAAAACGCACTTGTTAAATTTTCAGTGTGATCATTTACAAGTCAGAAGTCAGCAAATGCTACAAATCAGGCCTTGGTTTACTCTTTTGTTGGTGGTCTAAGCTTAAGGAAGAGATAGGGAAAAAAAAGTGTTAATAATACATATTAAACTTAGAAGTGTGTGGTGCTTTGGAGAGAGCCAGCTGATAAACATTTGCCTGACTAGACCTTGCCTCGCTAGCCAAACCCTGCCACAATCACTGCCTTCCTTTCCCATCCCTGATCTGAGGCCTGGTGCAGGCTAGGGGCTTCTGCTCCTGCTGTCTGAGTCTCCAACAATGAGCATGTTCCTGACCCCACTCAGGGCTTCCACTTTTTGGCACTCTACAAAGATTATCCTATGTGGTTTTCACCACATTCAAAGGACTGTCTATATTGCCTTCAACTCTCTGTGCCTCCTGATTTCACATCCTATTACTACTTTGGCCTGGAATTTGAGGATAACATTAACAAGTGGTGGACTTTGGGCTTCAGTTTTCTTCTCTGGAGAAGGAGGAGGTTAAACCATCTTTAAAGCACCTTCCAGCTCAAAAGCTCTTCTGTTCCCCTTCTCTGGCTGTTTTGACAAGTTTCCTGCAGAGGTTCACTATTGACCCCCCTTCCTCTGACAGTGAGAGTCTTCCAGTGTTTCATAGATAGTTTGACTTCTATCTTTGACTTTTATCCCTGTACAACAGAATGTTGGGCAATCGATCCACCCATGAGCATTTATGGATTTAGCCATCCTGTATCAATCAACGGCTCACCAATATACTGGCCTTGCCTTTGGCTCAGTTTTCTTTGTCCTGCTCAGCTTATAAGACATCTCTGATTAATGAGATCAATTCAAACCGAACCTGCACAGCATGGAGTGTCTGCTCTCCATTCATTTTCCATTTAGCTATGACAACGAAGCCTTCATATCTGTCATATCTGGGAAACCTCTGGGCTAGTAAATGGGTCCAAGTTCCTCCAAGGACCCAATTCCCTTCAAGAAATCCCAGGATATCCAAAACAACTGTCTTACCCAAGTGAATTTCCTCAGGGAGGATTGTAACCCTCAGGCAGATCTCTCTGGGAAGGCTCTTCAACTGGGACCTCAATTAGAGATCAAAAGCAGACCCATGCCAATGACCATAGCTTTTTCTGTCCCTAATAAGAGTCTGGAGATGCCTAGATCAGTTTTGCTTATTTTTTCCTCCTCTTTGTCTTTTTAAGAATTCTTGTTTTGTAGGATGGCTCCCTGGGAGAAGGGAGAGGGAGGAATACAGGGGGAAATTTAGGTATTATAACAACAAAAGATATCAATAATTTCTTAAAAGAAATGTTAATAAGAGGGGCAAGGCACCTGAAGGCTAATCCAAGCAAAAAGTTTGCTCTTTCCCTGGATCCTATTAAATCATGGATTTTGAGTTGGAAGGGACCTTAGAGATCATCTGCCTTGGATAAAGCCAAGCTGCTACAACAGAGAAGCAGCCAGTGGCACACATGTCTACAGCTGAAATGTTGGCTATGAGCTCCCAGACACAGCAGTCAGTTCATATAGGCCTGGGGTGGGGTGGGGCAGGACTTGAAGGAAGGGAAAAATTGTTTATTTTCTTACATATTACTTATCTCTTGGCACTCTGGGGTCCTAGGGCCTACTTGCTGTTCTTCACACATGATACTCCATGTCCCATCTCCAAGCTTTTGCACTGGCTGTGCCCCCCACCTGGAATGCTCTTCCTCCTCATTTCTGCCTTTTGGAATCCCTGTCTTCCTTCTGGATTCAGCTCCAGCGGCCACTTTCAGAGAGAGGAGGCCTTTCCTGTCTCCAACCCCACTCTCTCTCTAGTCTGAACCATCTGGAGTATTTGTTACTTTGGATATAAATTACCTTAACTCCCACCAATCCCTGTCTAACAGAGCCCCAGGGGTGAGGGGACAAACCAAAACATCGTTTCTGTTAGTATGGGTGGTCCCTCACTTACCAACAGGGTATGAATTATCTGGTATTTGGCCCTGGTGGAGTGACTGCAGCCTCTCTGCATTAGCAGTGCCTGGGTGGAGCTCTGCCAACTGTCCATTGCTATGACATACCAGACTAAGACAAAGGGCACTTGAACTGACCCTGAAGGCCAAGAGCACTGCCTACCCCAAGCTTGGGGATATGGGCTGACCTATCCCCTGGCCCTCCTTGGGAAGCTAGGTGGCAAAGTGGACAGAGTGCTGGGCCTGGAGTCAGGAAGACTCTTCTTCCTAAGTTCAAATCTAGCCTGAGACATGTACTAGTTGTATGACCCTGGACAAGTCATTTAACCCTGTTGGCCTCAGTTTCCTCATCTGTTTAAAAAAAAAAAGAAATGAGCTAGAGAAAGAAGTGGCAAACCACTCCAGCATCTTTGCCAAGAAAACCCCAAATGTTGTGGGGGGGTTTTTTGGTGACCCAAATGGGATGGCAAAGAGTTGGACACAACTAAAACGACTCAACAATAAGAAGTCCTGAGTCTCCAGTCTCCTTCACTCAGAGGCCATGGGGGGAGGGAGAGTGTTGAACAGAAGAAGGTTATACTTTTTCCTGGGAATTAGGTGCTGGTGGGGGTGAATCTCTCACTTTATCTGACCCCTGCACTCCTATAGGTAGCCAGCTTTGGCTTTACAGAAATCAGAGACCCAGGCTAGTTTCAAAGTAGTCACAGAATGGGCTTTCGAACATATATCAAGGTCACACAGGAGTGGCTCAGAGAGGAACTCGGCCCAGAATTCTTGGGGCAGTATGGCACAATAGATAGTGTGCTGCTCCTGGAGTCAGGAAAAACTTGGTTCAGATACTTGCTCCTGACACTTACTAGTTGTGTGATTTCCACGATACCAAGCTAGAATTTGCTTCTCAGCCTTCCCAGGGCCATCTAATCCTCTGAACGAGAAAGCTCTCCTGCAGTATACCTATACAAATGTTGTTTGAAGACCTTTAGTGAAGGAATCTCTTCCATCCAGAGGCAGCTTTTTTTTTATTTGACTTACAATTGTTAGGAAGCTTTTTTTCCTCCTTTTCAACAAGCCTAAATATGCTTTCTTGAAAGGGGATGGATTCTAAACCCTGACACCAGCTGTTGTAAAAATTCACGAATTCCAATAAATTTTCAGTGCTTGATAAATGCTCCTTGTTGACTAACTCTCCCTCCAAGCCCTACACCCTGAAATCAAACTGGATTGCTTACTGTTCTCTTTCACCCACAGGCTGAAACACTCCCTCCCCACCCGCTCATGTGCTGCCTCCTAAAGCACTAAATCAATGTCAGTTAACATGGTTCCCAGACTTGACCCTAGCTCTGGGGTCTCCATCCCCTGACCCCACCTACCTTGGCCATTAGGTCAGAGGGGGAAAAAGCTTCCTTTAAAACCAGCCTTCATGCTACTGGACCTCTCTCATCATTAGTAGTCTCGAAAAACTTGTCCACAGACAGCCTTCTCCCTCCCTCCTCTCTTTCTCCCCTCAAGGGGGACTGGGCTGGGCTTGGACTTTTGTTGGAGAAACCTGCTAAGCAGGTTTAGCGGTTCTCATGCTTCCAGAAAGTGACAGAAACCCATCTAGTATGGAAGCAGAGAAGGAAACAGAATTCTATCTTAGTGCCTTTCTTCTGAGATTGCATCAGTCTTTTTTTTTTCCCAATCGTGTTCGACTTTTTGTGATCCCATTTGGGATTTTCTTGGCAAATACTGGAGTAGTTTCCCATTTCCTTCTCCAGCTCATTTTACAGATGAGGAAACTGAGGCAAACAGGGTTAAGTGACTTGCCCAGGGTAACACAGCTAATAAGTTTTCCTGACTCCAGGTCCTGCACTCTATCCATTACGCTACCTAACTGCTCTTCCTTCTGAGTTTACCTCCAATTTATCCTCTATTTTGCTTCTTTGTTTTATAGTTGTTCGAATGTTGTCTCCCCCACATTAGACTATGAGCTTGTTGAGGGCAGGTACTGGTTTTTACTTTTCATTGTATCTCTAGTGCCTGGCACATAGTAGGCACTTAATAAACATTAGTTGACTAAGAGCATTCTTAAGAATTGCATTAGGACCCACAAGTACAAAAATATTTATAGCAGCTCTTTTTGTGGTAGCAAAGAACTGGAAATTGAGGGGATGCTCATCAACGGAGGAATTGCTGAACAAGTTGTGGTATATGAGTGTAATGGAATACTACTGTGCTATAAGAAATGATGAGCAAGGGGCAGCTACGTGGTGCAGTAGATAGAGCACTGGCCTTGGAGTCAGGAGGACCTGAGTTCAAATGTGGCCTCAGACACTTGACATGCACTAGCTGTGTGACCCTGGGAAAGTCACTTAACCCTGACTGCCTCATCAGAAAAAAAAAAAGAAAGAAATGATTAGCAAGCAGACTTCAGACAAACCTGGAAAGATTTGTATGGTCTGATGCTGAGTGAAGTGAGCAGAATAAACCTAATATAACACGGTTAGTTTACAAAGGGGGTGATCATCTTATTCCTCAATACCAGTGTTGCAAACTAGTCACCTGATAGTTCAAAATCACTCATCTCATTTGACAGGTAAAGGTACTGATGCCAAAATAAGCACAGCCTATATCAGATTGCAGTCTGTCTTGGGGACAGAGGGAGGGAGGAGAGGGAGAAAATTGCTCCAAGAAACTAGCATGGAGTTGTACACATAAAAGGCTCTTAACAAATGTTTGCTGAAATCAGTGAATTTGTGCTATCATTTTAACAGATTAAGTGGGGACAATGGAATTCCTTCATGACAGCTGGTGTCAGGGTTTAGAACTGTAAAACTGGATCTAAGTACCTTGATTTGCTTGAGCTCCCCTATTACCCAGGACTGGCTGCATTAACTAAGATAGAGTGCTACTTGACATATCAACAATCCTTTGCAGTCACGCAGAGTAAACCCAGCTCAATGTGCAGAAAATCAGCAACTCTGAAGCCAACCAAGCTCCTAACAGCTTTGAAGTAGATCCTGAGTTATCTGGTCATTTCAAGAGACAGTGTTATCTTCAGAGACTCTCCTAACCATTGGCTTGGGGTTCTGAGACACATCCTGTTCTGTGGTTTCTGGAAACATGCCCTTATCTTTTGTTTGTGCTCAAGCCTTGAACTGTCAAGACTGTTCATTGCCAAGAATGCCTTCGGATTTGTGCATCAAAGCGCCGCAGTTCTGACACCTGGAATTCCCCACTCCTCTTTTCCTGGATCTCCCTCTCCCCTTGGGAATGGGGCTCCCTGCCTCATTCTTTTCTAGGATCTACCCAATTCCCACCTTTCTCCCCAATTCCCTGCCTTCCTTTGTTTGAAAAGTATAAATACCTCACCCTTTCCAACTCCCCTTCAAATAGATGAAAATCCTGTCTCACTGTTCCAGCTTGCAAGCTCCTTCCTGGACAATAAATGAAACTGTAATCTGTGACCAGACTTTGGCTTATTCCAGGTCCTCCTTTTTGGACCTGAGGTTTCTTCTATTTTAAGAGTTCACAGGGTTTGGTTTGGTTTTTTAACAGAACCCACTCCCTTTCAAGAAAGCAGATTTAGATAAAAAGAAAGTCTTTTGATGAAAAGAAAGCCTCCTAACAATTAGAGCTATCCAAAAGTGAAATGGGCTGCCTCTGAAAGGGACAGGTTCCTTCACTAAAGGTTTTCAAGTAGCTTCAGCTGCCCGTCAGGTACCTTGTAGAGAGGTTTTCTTCTTCAGACAATATTAGATGGCCTATGAAGTGCCTTCCTTTGATGAGATGCTTAAGATGCTGCGGATAATTCAACTAACAACTCATGGTAATAAGGCTTGGTTCTCATCTTCCCACCCCTAACCCCCACTGACTGAAGACTGTCTCCCTAATCTTGCCCAGTTATCTGTTCACAAGGGGTTAAGGAAGAGTGTGTGGACAGGCTGGTGTAGTCCTTCTTCACTTCAGGGGTACAGAGTACTTCTATAAGTAGCCAGCAGTGGATTAGGAGCATCATCTTCAGAAACAGAGAACATTTATTGTGCCATATTTCAGGGATGGCATTTGACTCTCTAAAGTAGGGTGGCATAGTGGAAAGAGCCTTAGCTTGTGAGTCAGACCACTTGGGTCTCAACCCAGAATCCACCACTAACACAAAAGCTATAAGTCCTTTCACGTTCATGGTTCCTAGAGTTGTCTACTCCACAAGGTTAAGGATTAAGGGAAATAATGCATATTGAAAATACTTTGAAGTGTGTTATGTGAGGATTCTTAAGACTTTCCAGAGTCACATAACAACAAATATATACGTCTCATAAGCATAAGCCTTCTTATCTGATCTGTGTACAGGGGAGGAAGTATTCTGGATGGGCAGGTGAGGGTAACATACTTGTCCTGGGGCTCCCATGATGTCTAGGCACCCTTCCCCAGGCTCAGAGTCCCCTACGGCCAACCAACAAAGGGGTAGCTGCACAGCTAGGAGATGGGTAGGGAATCACTCCTCAATGGCTGCAACGTGAGTGCTGTTTAATATTTTTCAGCAAGACTGGACTCCTCAGATGTTGCGATGGAAAAACAAGATTATAAAGAGGGAAGTGGGGGAATACTGTATGGACTGAGGAATTTTATGTTTAAAACACTCTGCTCTCTCCCCCCACAAACCAAGGAACACTATTTTTATGTTTTAGTAAGAGGGGAAACAAATCCTCTCCAAGAAGATACAAAGTCAAAATATAGCCTTTGTTTCTGTTGTCTCCACAGATTTCAGAATCTTTAGGCAGGTAGTCGGGAGTAAGTCACAGCAATCCCTCACTGCTGCCAGCCCAGATTAAAGACTACATCCCTCTCCACTACAGGTTTCATGGTGTATTAGCTCACGGTGCAGGCCCATGGAAGCTTCTTCTCTAGCTCTAAGGATTCATTTGGAGGTTCAGTGGTAAAGACAGAGTACCATCAGTGGGTCTACAACTTACACCTATCTAGAACTTTAAAATTTGCAAAGCATTTTCCTCACAACCCTGTAATGCATATTCACCTCCAATTTACAGATGAGGAAACAGCCTCAGAAAGGTTAAATTACTTGCCCAGGTCTTCTGGTACAAGTCCATCATCCTTTCCACTCCATGATGCTGCAGGGGAAAGGGAATGGTAGAAGAGTTAGGGAGGAGGGGGAAAGAGGCAAAGAATGGACAGGAACATAAAGAACTCTAAGCTATAATTTGGGAATCCCTTACCGGATTCTTCCCCATCAGGACGGGGGGATGCAGCATGGGGAGTGGGAAGGAATAGCAAAAGGGGCTCTTCAATCCATTGCTACAAATCCTGACCTCTTTTTACACCCTCCTCACCATTCACAAAGCCTCTTCCCTAAGCTAGGCCCTCAGAAACTCTTGCCAATAGCTAACTGGTCTCCTTGCTCCTCTCACAGTCAAAACAGTGCTTTACAACTACTTCTACGATAAATATGGATGCCTCAGTTCAGCATTTAAAGACTTTCAGAATCTGGCTATAATTTCCCTTTCCAGATAGAACTCATAGCATTCTCCTTTATGCACATGCAAGTCAAGCCAACTTGGCCTTAGTTCTTTGAACTCGGCATTGGCACAAGTTACCCCCAATGCCTGGACTGCATTCCCGTCTCTCCTCCCCTTAGTTTCCTCCTCCCTGAATTAATATACTCCCTCTTTCATTGCACTTGGCCATTTGCCTAAATGTCAAATTCTCCCAGCATCATATAAGCTCTTTGAAGGCAAGACCTCACGACTCACTTCACACGTATTAGGCACTTGATTGTTGACCTCATTCCATAAACTCTGGTGACTCCCTAGTAACTCCAAGATCATCTGATGTGGAGACTCTATAAATGGGTCCCTTCCTATCTTTGCGGGCTTCTTACACTTCAGTCACCTCCACAAACTTCAGGGCTTGGTGACACTGGCCTCTGTGCTGTTCCTTACCCAAAACAACTCTCTCCCTGACTCTGCATTCTCAGTGGCTACTCTCCATGCTGGAATGCTCTCTCTCTTCCTCTCTACCTGCTGGCTTCCCTCAGGTACGATCCTACCTTCTGTAGAAGCTTCCGTCAGTCCACTATGGCACTAGTTCTTTCCTTCTGAGATTATCCAAAAGGCTTGATCAATAAGGAGCTGTTTGCAGGCCGTCTCTTCCATTAAACTGTGCTCCTCTGAAGCAGGGACTTTTTTGGGGGCCTTTCTTTGTAACCCCAGTGCTTAGCAGAGTGCCTGGCACATAGCAGACACTTAATACTTGTTTACTTGATTTGCAGAATGCAAGAAAAGAGAGACAGAACAAGGTGTGTTTGTATGGGGAGCAAGACTACCAGGACCTGCCTAAACCTAGAAGTTAAACAGTACTTCTGAGAAAAATTGGTACTCTTTATCCCCCACCTATCCCCAGTTCTCCTGGCACAGCTCCTAGCCCCAGGAACCAGGAGTCTAAGGAAGAGCCCAGTCCTATCTTCAGCAATGGGGCAGACAAAACTAGCTCCTAGCTAACCACATCTCTGACTGACTCAGTTGATTCCTCAGTCTACCCCTCACCCCCCCAACTGCTGAAAATGGGAGGAGGGAATGTTAGAAACAACAATACTATCATATATACAGAGACTGAAAGTTTACAAAGTGCTCTACATATTATCTCATTTCTGGAAACTTTAGGACCTCCGAGTCACTTTTTTCA